AACAACAACAACAACAACTGTCATCTTCATGCCGCACTCCGTCACTAATATTCAAAAGGCCGTTAAAGGAATGGTGATTATCCCCCTCCCCACCCCTCTTGCTAAGTGTTTTGGACTCAAAAATTGTACCCATTGGTTTTCGAACCAAGAGATATTGAATGGGGTTAGGGGAGGGGGCGACTTTGATGAAGCTTGATTATATCGAAGAATCGCGCGCAATTAAAACTGTCTCCAGTCTAATCATTTAACTTGACTTTCGTAATCTGAAGAATTTAGTGCGCAGACCTTGGAGGGCATTATCCGCCGACACCAAAGACTGAGGTGGATTATATCCTCGGAAGTCTGTATAATTCCTCATATCATACTCAGCCTCATCCAAAAATTGCTTATCACTGTTAATTATCCGCAGAATTACCTGAAGCATGGCCGAAGGAAGTACAAGAAATACATATGATACAGCTGTCGTTTCGTCTACATCCTCCGCCTGGGGATGGTTAGTTCGTCCTGTTGCCATAGCGCTGTCCAGCCTCGGTTTGGTGGTCTTTGTAGCAGGAATCACCTCGTTTTCGATACGCGGAGTTGACAGTGGAAGCCGAGTGCTGCTGATGCCTGCCGGGAGCGTCATTCTCAGTCTCGGCGTTCTTTTAGGCATCGGATTCAAAATAAGTCAACGCGAAGAGAGGAAGATGGCTTTGAAAGCCCAGCGTTCTGGAAACGACGTGTTAGATCTGACGGCGGAATTTGCTACTATTGAGATATCCGTTGGAAGTAACTGCTCCACGGAATTCCCTGGGGACGATCACGAGGACCAACAAAACCAGCAAGGATCAATCTTTACAAGATTTCCGCCCAGGCGTCCCTGTCAGGAGGAAGCCGACCCCGGACGTTCCATTGCCCCACTGCCAGCTGTCGCGCCTATGTTGGATAGCAATGACGTGTTGGTAGTGCTCGAGGATCCGAGTTTGTTTGAGATCCCCCCCTCGTACGAAGAAGCATGCGCAGTATACACCGAAGTTGGTGTGTGATCATCGTGTTGCTCTGACGTACTTGAGTTGTCTCCTCGATCCTTCCCCGGTGGAGAATCAGACCAGAGAGGAGATTCACTCTACACTCTTTTTTTTTTTTTTTTTTTTTTT